CTGTTTTCAAAAAAATCGATTTTGGTTTTTAGTGTAACTCTAAAACAAATCAAAGTATATACATGAAATTTTCACTGGATGTTTATATTTGCATTTTCTATACACAATAAAATTTTTAAAATATTATGATTTGTTTTGAACTGTTTAGGGACATTTTCATTTTCCATTTTTTACTTTAGTTTTTATTCTAAAAATATCAATAAAATTTTATTTGTTGGTTTCGAAAGCTTGAAAATTTAATAGAAGGCTACTAGTATATTGTTTCAAAGGCAGATGAAAAATATTAAAAATCCTTAGTCACAATTTTTTTTTATAAGCATTTAAAGTTCAAAAATTGACAAAATATGGAAAAAACACGAAAATTAGTAAATTATTTTGAGTTAAGAATTCGTAAAAATTTTTTTTTTTAAATCTTAGATTTAAAAATGTAATATAAGATTACTCATAAGATTATCTACCTTAATCAAAAAAAAAATATCTATAAGGAAGTCAAATTAAATTTATTCGAGCGTTTGAAATTCAAATTTTTACAACATTGGATATTCACTCGATTTCTCATGTAGCGATTTCCTTATTTTGTTGTAATTCAAAAACGAATAACTTTAGATACATGAAAATTTCACTGAATGTTCATATTAGTATTTCCTATACACTGTACAATTTTGAAAATATTTTGACTCTTTTTAAACTGTTTACGGACATTTTCAGTTTTCAATTTTTTTAGTTTTTTTTTCTATAAATAGCAATAAAGTTTTATTTGTTGGGCCAAAAAGTGTAAACATTTAATACAAGGCTCCTGGTATATTGTTACAATAGCAATTGAAAAATATTAAAAATACATAGGCACATTTTTTTTTTATAAGCATTTAAAGATCAAATTTTGAAAAAATTTATCAAAATCTCGAAAATTATCAATCATTGTAATTTATAAATTATAAGATGTTCAGTTTTTATAGCTAAGGATCGCAAATTTAAAATAAAGGTTCTCATAAATAGTTCATACTTTAACCAAAAAATCTAAAAAATATATGAACACAGTTATTTTTTACAGACATTTTAAATTCAAATTTGGACGAAATTACATATTAAAATCAATATTAATGATCTTGATTTTTTGTTGTAATTTAAAAATATTATTCGGGGATATATGAAACTGAAAAATCAAAATATTATGGCCTTGGACTTAAATACTTTGGACAAAATTACATAAAAAAAAACCTAGAATAACTATTTTAGTTATTTTGTTGTGATTATTGTGTGATACTATTCGTGGGTACTTGAAACTTCTAAAGTACACTATAATATTATATATCTATGATAGTATCAGGGTTTGTTATTGATGTATAACGTGTTATAACTTTATAAGTACCTAATGGATATTGTGATATGATTAATTTGGAATTTATTATAGGTCAATTTTTTTTAATACCATAGATAAGTATATAATATGTCTTATACCTAGACTGACATATCGTCTCCTCTCAGAATCGTTTTTCTTATACAATGATATTATATCATTGAATTCAAATTTAATACCATCTATTATACAGTGACCCACTTGTAACCTACAGTACAGCAGAGCGACATCCACTTACCCACCTTTTTTTTACACTGAATTTGGCGAAATGACCAAAATTAACTCGAGTCACCCCCCCCCCCCCAACCTTCAGATCGGAGACCTAGTTATCGTCTAGGAACCCACGCCACCCCTCACCAGGAAGACAGCAAGAGCGATAGAAGTCCACTCGGGGATGGATGGATTTGTCAGAGTAGCCAAAATACTCTTGAAAAAATTCAAACCGCAACAGGCAAAGTGCTAACCCGGCTAGCAGTCAAGTTATGTCCGATGCCACTTCATGAAGACTCGTCCCTTCAAGGTGGGTGGTATGTTTGTAATCCTAGTGTTAGTCAAAATCATATTAATTGTACTATCGTATTTATATTATTTGTATTATCGTATTTATATTGTAACCGGTCCGTGAACATGGAAGACCAGCGACGAATCTCCGTGACAAGTCAGTACTCACCGCGTATCACGACCGCGACCGGTATATTTTGTTTTTAAACATTGTATCGAACTTAATACATCGCCTGACAGTGACGACCTCTACAAAATGTTTTTTACATCACTGACTACTTTATTTTTTTCGATTAACGCCGAAAATATATTAAAAAATGACACCCATTAATAATGATTTCCTTTTAACCTAGTTACATTCAATGCTGCTAATTTAACTGCTGACATTGACTGTTTCGTGTGACATTTCGTCGTTGTTTTCTACGTTTTTCGATATCCTATCCTTTGGCATAATTATTTTTCTTACCATCGCAGTGGTTTTAAAGTATAGCTAATGTAGCTCTATACTAATTTTAGGCTTCTAAGTTGACTCCTTATACCTTCATCCACTTCGCTTTCTGCCCACATTTCTTACATATTTCTTTGCCGAGCTTTTACTTCAAGTGGATTTTTGGGGATTGCAAGAAATTCCAAAAGCATTTTGACGAAGCTTTTATTTGCCTTCTGCTTGTAATCAAACTCTCATCGCGGTGTTATGAGGTGCATCCGTAAGAAATGTGCATGTATGCAAGGGGCGGGTACTGTCTTTTGACTCGGGTGAGCTGCCGCTTACTAAGAACTGACTGACTTGAGGTGCTTCGACTTGCTTGGTATAATCACTTCTGAATATGGGCCATTTTGGAGTCTCCTATATAGGTCTATCTATATTCCCCCAGCCATATCGATAAAAGTATCGTTCCCACGGATGCAACGTCCGCATACGAGATTCTCGGAAATGCTTACGGCCCACACACAGATATGAGTGTGCTTCCTGTTACAGCTGCATTTTTGATAATCTACTGCATAGTTTCTTTTAATTAGTTTCATTATATGAACCGTTTTAATATATTTTTCCGTGTCGTATGCTGTAATCTGGCGTGGCAAGTTCCTGGTTTGTTTTTATTTTATCACATTTCTTAGAATCGGTTTTCTCCTATGGTTAGATACTTTTATAAACCCACTTATTTGGTATTTTAACTCTTTCCGGCATTGTGGTTAGTACTCGATCTCGTTGTCGTATTCCAAGAATCGCGTTAACCATTTGTCCTACACCCCTTAGGCAATGGTTCAATGGTTGTATAGTCATAGGTAACCTATCTTATTATAATTATTATTTATTATACAGCGGGACGCCAGTCCTTAGAAAAACCTAAAAGAAATTCTTATTTTTGTTTAGGATAACATTAATAAATCCCTTACGGCCGCTTGTCTTCTCAGCTGGTATCCATGCGCTGCGTATCAGCTGCAGAACCTGTTGAATATGTTCGGCAGCACTTTTCGACGTCTTAAATATCTTCGGCAGCATCTTACTGTGTATATAATATATATATATATATATATATAAATAATTTTATTTTGTAATCTAATTTAATTTCGTAGTGAGAGACGTAGTTTTACATAATACCTTATTTTTCCGTCGCTGTTTGTCGCCTTGTCGGAATACTGCTATAACATGCCTACATAATAATGACTACTTGGTCGCAAATTTACAATATACTTTAGACAAGTCGAGCCCGATGCCGTGCGATAGTACATCAAAGCGGACAGTACCCATTCGGACATTCAGTTAAGTGAAGTTATTAAACTTTTATACCATTATTAAATATTAGTGCCTATATTATTTGTACTAATAAGTAATAATTATGGTAGATCGGTACCTACTTATGATGTTAAATGTTAATTGGTTTGTACCTACTTCCCCCCTATACAAATTGAGCACTGGTTCCGTCACTGGAGATAAGATAGAATAATATAGCACTCTGGAAATCTGTATTGGTTACCCAAAATCACAATATATATTCAGTTTTAAACAGATACCTATATAGGAACTAAAGTACCCATAATACATTGAGGATGGCATTGTATGGAACTTGAGTCGTATAGTTATAAGTTATAACATTATATATATGTTTAAAAATTAGTAAATTGTTTTAATGTTTACTACATACATAATTGTAAATTTACATTTGGTTAAAACCAATAATTACTAATAACTTCCATTTGAATAAAATTAGAAGTAGGTAACAGTCATATAATATTATATATTATTATTTTGGTATCATTATTTTTCTAAATTTCCATTTTTCTTAATCATCGTTTCATTGCTTAGAGTCTGCTGAATTCTGAAACAAAATTATGTAAAATATAAATAAAAATAAAAAATATTAAAAATATTGAAGATATAAGTAGATAGGTAGGGCTCGGAAGTTGTTGCATTTGCATGATTTTTTTGAACCATTAGATTTATTGCTAAGTAAGCTAGAAATTCATTTCAAGACACTACGAAAAACATATCAAAAGTTTTTAGTGCATATTTTTGCATATTTAGTGATTTTTAGATTTTAGAGCATATTTCTTAATTTTACAATTTTTTAAAGCATATTTTATAATTTATGGACATTTAATATGAAAATTTGTAAATAAAAAAATAAATACATTCATATTCAGAGATCTTACTAGATATTCTTGAATCTTATTATTCAAATTTCCATTTGACATTAAAAACTATGTTTTTCCTCTATTGGTTAATATGATATTATATAAATATATATAAATTACAACTACAGCTAGCTTTATCTAAAATAGATTATTATACAAATCTAAAATAGAAACAGCTGCTATCGAAATACGACGATTTTCTATAAATACTTTTATAGGAAAAGAACTCAATGATTATTGACTATTGTTAATGGCATTTATAGATTTTAGGTATTTCAGGTATATAAATATAACTCGACAGAAGTGCATTTTTTTATTTAAGGAACATTTTTAATTTTTAAAGCGATTTTTTTATTATTTTTTTGTTTAAATTATGATTAGAAAATATAAATAATAATAAATTAATAACTTATATTACTTTGCTTTTTTTTTTTATTTACAAATTTAAAAAAAATATTTGTACAGATGAAAATGTTGTGTAAAATAATTAAATATAAGTGCATATTTTTAGAGCATATTTGTAGTTTTTTAAGCGCATAAGTGCATGCATATTTAGTACTTTTTAAGTGCATTAAGTTCCGAGCCCTATAGATAGGTATACAATATGTTAAATCATACTTAATTAAAATATACTAACGTTATAATCACAATATCAAGTAATAGAACTACACTCGCTGTAAATATTATTGTAATCCAAAATATTGATGAACTAAATATGATTTCATTTACATTGATGAACACAGTAAAATGCATTAAAATAATCTTTAATTCACTAAAAAGTAAAAGAAAAAGTATAAGTAAATAATTTTTGCAATAAAGGAATAGGTTAAGTACCTTAAGTACCTATTAATAATCATACAATTATTTAAAACAGTTTTGAAGCCTGATTGTTAAATGGAGACAGAATTCATGCAGGATAAATGTTTATTTTTTTTTTTTAATTTTAAGAACCCCAAGTCAGAGGGTTTTCAAAACGGTGGTCCCGTGATTTCATGTTGTTATTTTAATCTTTAGTTATAAAATTTAATTATTGTACATGCAATATTACAGATTGTGAACATACTATTTTGTTTGAATAATAATAATAATAAAAAAGTGGATAAGGGGATGTTTCTGTACAGTAGGTTACAAATTGGTCACTGTATAATGGATTGTATTAAATTTTAATTCAATGATAAAATATCATTGTATACGAAAAACAATTCTAAGCGGAGACGGTTTGTCAGTCTGGATATTTTATATTGTAAAAAACACTAATATTCGTCACAATTTTTTATACGTTTCTATGGTGATATACAAAGCGTTTGAAATCAAAATCCTGTTTTAGCGGTTATTTGTAAATTGACGGTGGTTTTTCCTGTGGCATTAAATAACTAATAAATTGAGAAAATCGAAAAATGACCTGTTTAAAGTACCATCTTGATCCAATTTTCTAAAAGATGAGTTACTATATTTTAAAATGGAAGCACTCCTTCTGGTAGAAATTTTGTATAGATAAAAAAAAAAAATGATAAACACCATTGTAAAACCACTATAAAAAAAGCTCCGCTCAGTATCTAAAATTTGAATAAAACATTAGAATTCAGTTAAGTATAAACCCGTTTTTGTAATCGTTTTCTTGTTTTTTTGTCAATGTATTAAAAATAAATATAAATACAAATAAAAAATGTTTATTACATTGCCTATTCATAAGATTTAGCTTTAAGACGTTTTTTTATATGGGAATAACTAAAGGTGTGGCCGTGTAGGTATATGTACTGAAATGTGAACACAGAACACTTACAGTTAATATCTGTTGAAACTTGGAAGTGTTGGTATCAATTACTATTAATAAAATTCAGTTATTACTTATTGAGACTTCACAGAATAATAAATTCATTGCATGTAACTTAAGAGGACGTTATACCCACATGACGTGTGTCTCATTTTTACAACTTTTAAAATACTCAAGACTTGTTTCAAAATTAATAAATAAATATAACCTTTTGAAACTATTCTAAACTATTCTATAACTGAGTAAGACGTATTCTTTTTAACATAGGTACATGTATCTATGTTACGCTTAAGTAAGACTGAGACAACACATGTGGGTATAACGTCCTTTTCAATATTTAACTATAGGTACTCTGTTTTCGTGAAACAGAGTATAGTACAATATTGATTATTGTAAATTATTAATTAGGTAAGTAGGTATATTACTTATAAGCCATTATGAATAAAATCCATAATAGTATTGATACCCATATAGCTAAGTCTACGATTAAAGACCATGATTGAATATGTAAACCAGACTTGAAACACACAATGATCAACGTACACTAAATAAATGACAAGCAATATTATTAAAATGGGTATTGAACATAAAATATGACTTGGGTATAATAGGTTAATTAGAAGATCATTATGTTATTTGCGTTACCTACAGTGTATATGACGTTTCCAAATACTGAATAATCTCCTACTCTCCCTTTGGTCCATATAACTTCATGTCTCATGATAAATAAGCATAACCAAAATAAGAGTAACGAATGAAATAAAGCATTAACTATCCATATCCAAAACATTTTAAAATTAAACACATTTTGTGTTTGATAGTACAACTGTGGACATTTTAATCTTGTTTCTGTTGAGCATGTAGTTAGAAATAGTCCCATTACAATCGGTAGAGAAACTGTAAATAACTAAA